AGGGGTCCCCTCATTAATGGAGGAGCAGAAGGTGATTAAAACAAGAGAGCTAGTCTCTAAAACAGACATGGCTATGGCTTGATGCTAACATCTTGGTTAGCTGTCAGAATTCTGAGAAAAAAGTCAGAATTTTCAGATTAAAGTCAGAATATTATATTATTATTATATAATATTTCCCATATTAAACTGAAATAAAATAAAAAAAATCAGTTAACTTTTTTTTTTCCAGTGGCCCTAATCCTCTTCCGTATTTTGTGTCCTCAACCCACAAACAAATCCTGACATTAAGGTTTTTTTCCCAAGAAGGTTTTTTCACATAGTTTTAAACAAACGGGGAAATAACTTTGACAGCAGATGATGTTGATTAGTGTCAGATCTATATTCATTCAGCATATAGAGATAATTAAAACCAATAAGGGCTGAAACAACTAATCAGATTATCGATTATTGAAATAATCATCAACTAATTTAGTAATCGATTAATTGTGAAATAAAGTATAGAGACTGTAAAAAATGCCTTTAGCAGACAGAGTGACCAACTTATAGCAGGAATTATATCTAAATTTTAAATAAATATATAAACATTTTGCATTTAAGATTAAAAAGAAAGTTTTCGTCTGTCAATCTGCTCTATCCAGAACTCCTCAAGTTTCCCCTGGTTTAATTTATTTAAATTACTTTCAGGAACCTTTTGCTATCTGATCATTAATCTGTTAATAAAATGATTGACAGACAAAAAAGTGTTTGAGGTGAATAAAAGCTCTTTCCATAGCAGAATAGTAGCGATAATAATCCAATTTTTCAGTTAATAAACACAAACGCTTTAAGGAAAGTCATCCGTGATACTTTTTGTCAACTCACCCCGATCAGCAGTAAGACCAGCATGGACTGGGATGGTCGAATCATAGTTACTGGGAGAAGACCAGTGGTTTCAGTAAACACACAGAGTCCCGCTGTGTTTGTTGCTTGTCAGTTTTGATCAGGTGGAGGGAAGAAATGATCCCTTTAAGGAAGTAACTTACATTTAAACACAGCGACAAATAACTCAGTAGCTCAGGAATGTTTCACTTCAAATGAAATGTGCTGGTACCCAGTTCCCTGGAAATCTGTTATATAAAAGACCAACTTCCGCTGAAAGTCCAATGCTAATGAAATTCTAATGAGATTATTTAACTCCAACAGACTCAATGTTTTTAACACAGCTGCTAAAACAGAACAGCTGGACTCAGGGGGGGGGGATTTACCATCAGGCAATATTAGGCAGCTGCCTAGGGCCCCATAAAACTCTGTTTACATTTATAGTTAATACAACTGTTCCTTATTTGTGCACATTATGTTTTGGATAAAAATCCTTTCGCTAAAATGCCATCGGAGCGCTGATAATATTAAGTGTCTGCTGTCATGATTCATGCAGCTATTATTTCATCCAAATGAAAAATGGAGAACAGATAAGCAGAT